TGTTTACAACTAAATATTAATATCTTTTTAACTTAAACTCATAGACTTTATACACTAAAGATTTTGATATTTAGTCGTAAGCAAAAAATGCTTGTAAGAAGCGAAAGATAAGCCTATATTAGTCAGGACTCATCCGATATATTGAACACGTGCCGCCAGTCCTCCTCTGGGAAGGGCTTCCAATGGCGCCATATATTGGTGTTGAGCGCATACACAGTGACCGGTGTCTCCCGGAGCCGATCGGCCAGTTCCCGGGTGAACAGCACCTGGGCCAGTTTGCTACGCGCGTAGGCCAGAAATAGGTTGTACTCGCGGGTCAGGTTCAGGTCCGTGAAGTCAATGGAGCCGATGTGGTGCAACATATCCGACACGTTGATTACCCGTCCATTGGGCGCCGCCTTTAGGTTATCCAGTAATAGGTGTGTCAATAGGAAGTGACCTATAATTGAGATAAAGTTTGTCTTAAAGTTTGTATGAATTGTAAATGTTTTGGTTAAGTGTTGCGATGAATACCCAAATAGTTTTCGACAAATTGCTTCTCAAAGCCCTCGTCAGTGATGACTAGTTTGCCGACCAGTCGTTCGCCACTATTGATCAGTACATCGATTTTTGGCTCCTCTTTGGCCACTTGTTTGGCGAATTTGCGCACAGATTCAAGGGATGACAGGTCCAGGTGTAGGGCCTTCACGTCAAACACCATCTCCTGGTCTTCAGTCTTAAGCTCATCTATAATCTTATGGCCCTCTTCTACACTGTTTACGCCCATAATTACCTGATATGTGGACAGACATGTCATTAATTAGTAAGAATTTTACTCAAATTAATAACTTAAGTTACAAAATTGTAGATCATAATCATATTTTTAAAGTTTTACATAAAATCTTAACAGAATATTCTGCAAATTCTCTAATCGTGGTAGGATTACACTAATTATAGTAATAGTCAGATGAAAATACGAATAACAAATTAATGATCAAAATATGTGCAATTCTTAATGTAAATAAAAATTTATAGAATATTCTGTATCTACAGTATTATAGTATGTATTTCTGTGAACATAATTTCTGGTTCAATATATCGGATGAGTCCTGACTAATATAGGCTTATCTTTCGCTTCTTGCAAGCATTTTTGTTTACAACTAAATATTAATATCTTTTTAACTTAAACTC